AACCATTGTGGAAATCTGTATAGAGATACCTCAAAGAACTAGGGCTATAGGTTCCATTTGACCCAGCTATTCCCCTTCTGGGTATCTTACCAAAAAAATTAAAAGACTCATACCACAGCGATATATGTGCACCCATGTTTACAGCGGCACAGTTTGTAATAGCTAAAGCTTGGAAACCGCCCAAGTGACCATCAACTGGAAACTGGATAAAGAAGATGTGGTTCTTTTATTAAATGGAGTACTACTCAGCCATAAAGAATGAGAGACTAGAGACATTTATAGCTAAATGGATGCATATTGAGGCCATACTCTTAAATGAAATAAATAGGACACACATGTGTAAATGCTGCATAGTTTCTCTAGTGTGAGAACCTGAAAGTGTAAATAAGGATTAAAATGATTAAAACAAATAATTGATAATTTGAAAAAGGAAGAAAAGGTCCAAAAGCATAAGGGTGATTGGAGGGGAAGAGGAGAGGAAAGAAGGGAAAGGAAAAAATATGAGAAAAGAAAAATAATGGAAACAAAGTCTATGTAAATAGGGAAGGGTGGAGGGGGTGAAGGTTGCACAGGTAATGGGAAAAAAATAAGAACCAAAATACTTCAGGTACAGGTACAAGCATCCAATGATAAATGTAAATGTATTGTATACCTAAAATGTACCTTGAAAGAATTTAAGGGAAATAAAAAGAATACTTACATGCACCTTCTGCACAGCATCCTGCCTTTATCTTTATTTTAACTTTATCTTGAACATTCCATAATACCTATTTATCTGAATCCTCATATAGAGAATTATAATTCTTTTTACTTATTTCAATGTCTAACAAAGTGCTTAGTAAGATTTGGGTGAATAAATATATTTAATTCATTTCTCCAAATTATTTTACATTTGGATACTTTTTGGACTTTTTAGATCATTACTTTGTTCAATAGATAAGGTAGAAATTTATCTTCAGTTGGAAGTAGAAATTATAATGTCTGTTTTCTTAAAGACCTAGAATTAGATTAATAACTACTTTGATCAGATATATTCTTTAAAAGTGACTCTATTTGACTTTGAAAGTGATGTTTATCTTCATTTCTGAAGGAAGAAAGGTTGGCATATTCTAACACATTTTTCGTTGTCATTGGAGTATTTCTTTTACTGGCAGAAATTTCCATTTAGACTTAGTAGTCTTAACTAGGCATGGGCCTGGAAAGAAGATGTCTGTTTTCCAACCTGAACCTAATGAAGTAGAAATTTTGGAGGACACCCTTGAGAATCTGCATCTCTATTGTAATTCCTATGTAGCTCTAATGAGTTTCTCGAAGTAACAACATTGACTTTGAGACAATCTAACTGCAGTTTCTGCAAACTATTCTGACTATATTTAGGTGTTTTAGTGATCCTCCTTATTATTTCCTCTTTTATGATGGGAGTCTAACCACATTACTATGGTTGTATGCTTAATTTACTTACCATATGTTTGCCAAAGGTATGGATGTCATAATTGGCTCTTTACTTTTTATACTTACTATTGGCTTTGTTGTATCAAATTGCAAGCTTTTTATACCCACTGTGGACATTGCATGAATAAGCAAGGAAAGTGAGACGAGGAGAGAAGTGTTTGGAATAAGGTTGTCTCTTCCACTTCGTGATGGCATTCAACTTTTTACTTTGGAATTATAATAGCGACTGCTTTGAAAAGTTATTGTGAGAATTGACTAAAAAATGAATATTAAGCATAACCACTCTGGTGTGAAATAAATAATTTAAACATTAACATTTGTTATTTTAATTTTGTTATCATAGCAAGCAGTCACATAGACAAAAAGGCCAGGTGTGCCCATGTTTGACAAATTAACTTTGCTGTGTTTAGGGAGGGTCTAACCTTGATAGGAAAAGAAATGACTCACAGAAAGCCTGATTAGGGTAGCTGTTTGGAAAGTTTGGAGAACTGAATGTTGTATTTGGTTCCCATAGCTCAAAAGGTCCTCCACAGGCCGCTGAAAAGGAAAACAATAAAAAATCATTAGTGATACAATGTTTGTGTCACACACAATACTAGAAAATTTATAATTGTATTTCTTAGAATACTAATTTTGATACATAAATTTTAGGTTTTGTGTAAATGAAAACTTTGTAACTTAAATTAGGGAATAAATATAAGTAAATGGGTCCGTTTGTCGAAGACCTCAAGATCTTTCTATTTTTACTGTGTCTGTGAGTCTTCAAGAGAACATATACTGTGCAGCATTTCTCAAAAAATTATTTGAATAAGGAAAATCTTTTTGTCAAGCCTCTTTTATAAGTAGGCTTTATGAAATAAGCTATTGAATTCCTACTGCAGAAAAACAAGAATATTTATAATAGAAGAAATCCTTAACTTGCCACTCTTTTAAGAGAAGGACTAATAAATCACAAAACCTATATTTTCTGGTTTTGTATAAGTGTGGGGAAAAAGCTTTTCAATTTTGTATACTGAACCACTTGAAAGAAGGAAATGCAGACTAACTGAAACACCTGAATCGAGCTGGTATCAAACATTTTCAGGGAGTCAAGTTGGGACTCCTGAAGCTTAATTTAAAGTTATTAGAAAAATAGAGCATAGATCTCCCAGTTCAGAATATGACACTTTAGGCAGATTAACTTTATAATATTCTTAATATATTTTATTTTATATTCCAATTTATTAGAAACAAATTCCAAGTAACATAAAAATTCACCAACCATTATGTCCCAGTTCTAATGCTTATTATCATCATCATATTTTAAAATAATATCAAAAGAATAAAAGTAACCTAAATTGAAGGATTTTTGAAATATATATATATATATTTCCTATTACTAAAAGTTATTACTATGGTAATTATTTACCCTTAGCTAACTAGAAACTGGATTATGGAAAATATAACTGTCTCATAAATGGCAGTGCCTTTGATCATACTCTCTTCTTTGATCTTTTTTATATATTATCTGTGTTTTTTTCTTAGATCCTTTGAAATTCATGTGCATCTTCTACGTTTACATGTAACAAGGTACTTATATTTGGATTTCATGATATATATGATGGGAAGAAGAGAGACCATTACTATACCCTAATAGTAGCATTGTTGTCTGTCTGTCCTGTTCTATAAAGTTGTAAGGCAAGGTCTTCTCTCATGTTCCTTTCTGGGCCAGGCTTATCCAGATATGGGGAAAATTATAAAATTAATAAAACTCACAAAATATTATTGGCTCTTGGGAGTCCATGCATATTGCCTCAACTAGGAAAATAATGTGGCATGTAAAAGGAAGATGCATTAGAACTAATGGATTAAAATTGTCCTGTGGGATTACTGTTCTTTTAAGGCTTGGTTTTCTCCAATGTAAAATAGTTCTATATTAAGAATTTTTTGAGTTGTTGTAAAAGAGATAATTTTGGAAAAATGCTTACCCATTACTAGAAATACTTATAAATGGTTTTCAAAACATCTTTTGGATTAAGTAATTGCTATATTTCAGTTTTAAATGGACAGTCTGAAATTTGGAGTTATTTGGTCATTTGTTTATGCCATACACATTTATGTCAAAGTCAAGACCTCATCCAATTAATCTCAAGCTCATTCCACAGAACCTTATTATCTCTTACTGAGTTTATTAAACTCTGAATCATTTCCATCTGGTCCAAGGCATGGAAGTGTAGAGTAAATTTCCATAAATGGAATTTTACAAAAAAGAAATATGACAAAAAGAAAGAGAGCAGAGCACTGAAAAGGTCCATGAAGGAAAGATCTAAAAAGAAGTAAGTAGTCTACTCAGGATGCTGATGAAGGGATTTAAACCAAAGGAAGAATAGGCAGGATAAAGGGCAGGTTCTTCACTTGATACAAGTGATATCTGACTAAGTGTTATGGAAAAATTTCTAACTGATATGCACCAATCCTATAAGGCCTACATGCAGATAGTTAATTTAATTTTAATAATTCTCAATTTATATACATAATTCAATCCTCAATGAGACCATTGGGGAGGTAAATTGTAACTATAGGACAAAGATGAGACTGTAGATTGAAGACTGGGGAAAGCCAACTTGACCAGTGTGGTTAATGTGAGAGTGTGTGTGTGTGTGTGTGTGTGTGTGTGTGTTATACCATTATCCCTGTTTTCTAGTTAAGGAAAAGGAAGATTTCAAAGTTTTATATAACTAATGTAGTAAATGGTTGACATTTTGAGAACGCATTGAATTTTCATGTAACTGAACATTTAATGGCATCACATTAAAGTAAAAATGAGTAGGTAGAACATTAATAAACTCACAACCAGAGCAAAAAAATTGTCAAGTGGAATTGATAAGCCTGTACAGCCAAGCAGTTTACTTAGCATTTCTCCTTTAAACAGAAGTCTTGGGACATTCATTCCTGGAAAATACTTAAGAAGTACAATCTGAAATGCATTTGAATTACAGTTTTGTATCAAATGACTGACCTCTAAGATATCTCTGATTCATGCTTGGTTAACAAATTTCAGTAACTCTCTGCATATAAATGATTGGAAAGAATTAACAGAAGCATTTTAAGCCACTATAAATATCATGGGACAATCACTATTATGGGTATTGTGGCCTACAGTGGAGATGTAGCATGTGGTTCTTAGTAAAGGAGTCAAAGAGCCATAAAATGTAATTCCAGACATCACAGTCATGCTGCATCATTAGATAAACCATGGCCACCCAGGGAATGAGGTAAAGTAGCCTGTCTAGTGTTGGAAAGTTTATTCATTTATAGTGTTAAGCTCTTTCATTTTTCTTTTTTAAAGCTATTTTCACAAACATTTGTACTCTGATTAATTTCTTACTATGCCAGTAGGGATTTCCACTGCATATAAAATATAAATAGTATGCAGCATTTGCAAAGTAGTGGTCAGGGATAGATAATATCCTTGAGGCATACCGTTTTTAATTCATGCTTAAGTTTCTGATTTCCACTGGGTATGTGACAATGTGGAGACATTTACTGTGGAGTGGAAAGGAGGAGAGCCTAGCTTCCCTTTAGAGTAAGAGAATTTGAATTAAAGATATATAGGGTACAACAATAAATTAGAATATGATTATAATAAAAAATAGGTATCTGATAGATAAATTAATAAATACATTAAAAAATTCTTATCAATCAAGTTTAAATTGTCTTTCCTAATTGGTTAGTTTGTTCTTACTAGAAAGATAGCCAATGATAGTAAAAAGTATTTACTTGTTTTGAAGGTAAAAATACCTAAAACAAAATACACCAGTTAAAACATTCATACAGGAATTTTTGAGTGAAGTTAATAGGAAATTTTCTAGGAGTTTGAGTCCTAAGTGAAATGAATAGAAAAGAATGATATGAATATGATCATCAATTACCAGAGTCAGAGCCAGGTCCCTGGTAGGCTTCATTTCTATTTGGAGAACTGAAATTAAATTATTTAGCCTTAACTTGAGGTCCTGAAATATGAATTTCTTTTTGTATACATTATTATATCCAGTAGTTATCTTGTAATGAATTATTAGTAAACCTTTGGAAATTGGTATCATTCTTGTGAAACAGAATGTTTGCTTTCAAAAATTGTTCTCAGCATAATCTCCACATTGAAATTAACTAGTGCCAACACCACAGACGAAATTGGGGGTGGAGGAGCAGCAAATGAAGAAAGTCACAAATGAGAGAAACTCTGCCTTGTGAAAAAAACTTCCCCAAACTAGGCACAACATGCACCCCTAGCGACAGGGAGGAAACTGAACTTTATTATTCATTTACTTGTCTGGGATTATTTTCTTATTTAAATGTTCTATAAAGAATGAAAGAAAAGCCAACCATGATTTCCTTTCCTTTCTTTCTTTCTTCTTTCTTTCTTTCTTTCTTTCTTTCTTTCTTTCTTTCTTTCTTTCTTTCTTTCTTTCTTTCTTTTTTGCTTAAACAAATCAGTGATCTGGACCCAGAAAAGCTCTGTTCAAATAAGAATTTCACTGAACCAATTGCAAATGGCATTAGAATAAAATCTTTCAGAAAGCATTTGATGGTAATTAACATTTTCTGGTGTGCTTGAGATTGCCTTGAATAAACCATTTGGAAACTGGAACAAATATATTCTGGGCAAATTGTAAGTTTATATTTTCAAATGATATGGGCTATTTTACCATTATCACTTGCCTAATGTTAAAATATGCAAAGATACCAAACTTCGGTGACATTGTGACTAGAATAGATAAGATGTGTAGGGTATATTCAACATGTGAAGTCATATTTTAAAATGTACTTGTATATATGATATATAAATAAATTATTTCATGTTATGTTTTAGTAAAATGATTTTGCTGTGTTTTAAATATTGTATATATGAAACTATGTTCCTTACATGTAGAAAGTTTTTCTTAACCATTCAATTGATGAGTAGAGGGACAGATTGACAGAAAGGACTAAGAAGAAATCCTATTGTTTTAAATGATTGCAATATAAAATGTTGCTAGTACTTGGTCTTTTATCAAACTGGAAGTTATTTTAAGGATTTTGAATGTGTAATTTTGCTCAAAAATGTTCTGTGTAACAGATATGTAGGGCACCTACAGAGAATGAGTTGAAAAAATTATTTTCAAATGACACAAAGCTCAGATTATTACATTCTTGTTGGTATTTTCTCTACATGCACCCTCCTCATCATTTCCTAGCTTTAGTTCTGGTCCCAAAATTTGGTTTGATAAAAATATTTTTATCAACCAAAGAATATAATGAAAATAATGATAGAGATAGAGTCCATGTCTAATAATATTTATTGATCATCTATTTATGTGTTATTTAGAGCCAGTTAGGCATTAGTGACAAAGGTAAATTAGACCAAGAGTTTGGTTTCAAGAAACTCACTTCTTGTCACAATTATATGGGCAACATTATCATGTTGAAATATATGGGGCTTTTCTGCTTTTCTCTCAGTTTTATGTCATTTTTTTTTTATCTGCATGCTTACTTAGAACCTTCTCTAGTTTAAATTTTATCCTTTCTTAATTTTCTCATATACTTGGTAAACATACTTGAATATTGCTTTAAGTGTACAACTTAAATGAATGTTTAAAATATTGCAGAATTCATGAATATTCCTCATAAGCATCTAAGCATTTTAATATACAAGCTACAAGTGGAAATTAGTAGTATAATGCATGTGGGACCAGTATGACAATATAATTGCATCCCCAATTTATGGTAGCTCATTTGTTAGATGTTTTCAGACACTAGTCATTTGTCTTTAGCTCTTCATTTCTAATCTACTTCTACTTTTTTTCTTTTAACTTGCAGCATGTAAGCAGAAAAATATATAGTTTTGGAAGTATTATGTTTCAAGGGTGTTCAAAAAAAATGAAAAACAGAGAGATTGGATTTCCTGGCTTAAATTCATGCAAAAGAAAGTATCCAGGAGGCTCAATCCAAGAAAAGCTTTAGACCCACACTAATTTCTAACCACCACAGTTCAAAGGCAAAAGGATATTTTTCCATGAAAATAATTCAGTGAGAATATCCTCGCAGAAAGACACTGAGTATTTGATATTAATTACCTGTGTTTTTCTTTTTTCTACAAATCTCATCATTTGAAACTGCTGTGAAGGGATTGCATCCTTTTATAAGGACAAGATGAATGATAATGAGTTTTCTTTGAACTGTCATATTTCCAGTTTGATGTAAAAAAACAAGGAGATGTGCATTTCTTTTTTATTCTTTTGCATTAAAAGATCTTATAGGCAAGGAATCTTGGTCATTACTCAGTTACAACACATGAATGGCTCGGTGCAGGGAAAATAAGGACTTTCAAAGGCACCATTTCAAGACAAAGATCTTTTGTGTTAACTAGGTCTATATATTCAAAGTACAGGTTCAATCATTGTCATTAAATTATTCTAAAAATAGAATTGGTAAGTTTCAGGCCTACTGAATTCCCCTTGAAATTTTTAAATTTCTCCTTTAAAAGGTCATGAGAAATTGATGGCACCTTCTCCAAAGACGACAGGCCATCCTACAGGGACAATATAGCATTAATTTGTACTTTAGTAAAAACAAAATAGAAATCAGCACTTTTTTACTTTTAAAAATGAAAAAGTTCTGGATATGGTGGGCCACTCACGTAATCCCAGCACTTGGAGGCTAGGCGGGAAGATTGTCATGAGTTGGAGGCCAGTCTGGGTTACACAGAGAGATCCTGACTCAAAATATCAAAACAAAAAAACAAACAAAAACTCAAATATGAAAAAGTACTAATCTGATCATAAATACAACCCATAATGAAACAGTGAGTGACCTTCTTTGTAAGTTTTTGTGTAAAGCATATTATTTTTCAATGTTACTTATATTTTAGTCTATGATTTTCAGTTAAAAATATTAGGCCAAGAAGATAAAACAAGTCAAAGCAAGCTCTACCATAAATAGTGACTCAGGAAAAATGCACATTAAGGTTACTTACTAGGAAGTTCTGGTGGAAGAGTTGGAACCAAAGTTGGTTCTGGATAAAGACTCTCATTGCAAATCCCATGTGTTAGGCTAATGTCATCCAATGCTATATCACTCAGCCTTTGCTTTTTAAAAGCATTAAAAGCAACCTGAAATTCAAAGATGTATAGTAATCTCTCTAATCTTTTTTGATTTTTCTTCTTGTGACTTAATAAAATCTGCAGAATCAACATTGTGATTGCTAAATATATGAAAACCAAGTTACTACATAGTAAAATATGGATGAGTTATGATTTTTAAGTCCTTTTGATTTATTTATATGTACCTACTTGCTAAATTTTCACTTGTGTCTTTCTTCGAGTTAAGAAATATTATTATAATCTTTGACTCCCCATCTCTGACTCTCTTTCCCAGTATTGTCATGCTCCATTGTATTCTGTTATGCATACACATCATTAGGCAGCAGATACTGACCATATCCCAGATCCCTTTTTCCAATGGTATTACCCAGGGGGCTGTCAGCCTCTCTGGAGCATAGATACTCAAAGAGGACTCAGTGATTAGATCACTTAAATGGGAGATCAGATCACTTAAATGGGAGAATAATAAATCATTCAGTGCTTGCTGTAATAGTAATAGTTCACCCATCACTTCGGATGGAATATTGTATAAAAGTGTTCCACAGGGGACCCAGAATCAGACTTGGGAGAAAGGTAGTATATTAGGTTCTCAGGGACAGAAACTTTTGCACTTTCTTGAATACTTTTCTATATAAGAAAAGAAACACATGAACAGAATGCCTATTATATGTATCTTAGGAGTATTATACTAAATAAATGGTAAATATCTTATTTAATTTTTGAGCACTATTGAACACTCATCCATTCACACATGTGTTCATTCATTTCACCTACTTCATGCCAGAGGGCATTCTAAATATTACTTTCTTCCTTTTGTGTACAAAACACCACATTTCAAAGAGACTCAGGTGACTTGCTCAAGATTTTATATTAAAATGGCAAACTCCAAGTGCAAATACAGTAATTCATCTTATCATGAAGGAATATATTCTGATACCCAGAGTAGATGCTTGAAATTGCAAACTGTACTGAACCCTATATAGACTATATTAATTCAAATACCACATATATCTTATAATAAAGCTTAATGTATAAATTAAGTATAATAAGATGAGTAAAATAACATACTAAAGTAGAACATTTATAGTAATATACTATAAGAAAAATCATTTAAAACTTATGAATTGTTTATTTCTGTAATTTTCCCTATATTTTTGGACTCTTGTTCACTGTGGGTTATTGAAACATGAAAAGCAAATCTTGGGTAAGGAGTTGGAGAAGCTACTGTATTCATAGAGCTTGATACTCTCACTCTTCCAGGTGAACTAAATCCAAATATAGGTACCCATTTATATCATTTTAGAAAAGATATTTAGCCAGATTTGGCCACTGAAATACTTATTTCATCACTTCTAAATATTTTTGTTCCTTTGATGTTCCATTTCTCCTTACTCTTTCATGGATTAAAAGAAAGTAATCAAAGTGGGAGAAGAAAACTTCACAGTAACAACATTGAAACAGAAGGAAAAAGGAAAAAAAGGAAGGAAGGAAAAACAAGGAAAGGAAAGAAAGCGATAGGGCAAGAATGAGGATGAGGATCATTCATGACTGCTTGATTCTTATATGTCAAATTATAGGAGAGAGCTGGAGCCTTTGGTGATGACAGAGTATGTCCAAATATATGTCTTCTAAAAGTGATACCATCTTGCTTAAAATTACCCAATTAGAGCATTGTTAATTTGGCCCAACTAATCGCCTATATTTCCACTGCAAAAACCCTTAGGAAGAGAACACATTAAACTGTTATCTGAAAAATTGATTCACCTCAATGTGAAATAAATGATCAGAGACTTTGCAATGATACAGCTCATAGAATTTGTTTCTAAAGGAAATGCATGGAGATGAAGCCACAGTAGGGCAAGGTGGATGGATACTGACAGGCATGGAGGTCCTAATTGGAAATGATGATTCCAGAAAAGTTAAAGCCTGACCTATGTGGGGTTTGTAAAAAGGTGAAAATCTCAGGGTGGTAAGGAATGTAGGAAGACAGGGTTGGTCTGAGCTATGAAGTTGCTGAAGAAAGCTGAAATTGTCTCCAAAGTTTCCAAGGATTTTATGGATCATTATAAGCTGTACTTTTCAAACAGCAAATTGAATAAGTGGTTTTTAATAAGTCAATAAGGAAATGAAAATAAAAGTATTCGAAGGAAATAAAGCTAAGACACATTAGAAAAGTAGATAAGAGACTTGACTATCTTCAGAAAATGTTATTATTTTCACTGTTATTGTAAAATTACTCATATTAACATAAATAAATACAAATATAAATCACAACGTGTTTTGCAAACCTTAAATTCTCCTGTTTCATTTAATGTTACTTGTCCATAATTCCAATTTTCTCCATAATTTCCTTCTTTCTGGAAAATAGTCTTCTCCATGTTTTCACTACTGCTAACATTAATGCTTAATTTGTAGACATTGTCACCATACATATAATACCTAATTTGGAAATAAGCAAAAATGGTTGGATTGATACTATATTAGAGTAAATATATTTTAGATTCTTCAGATCCTTTATTATTTTTGAAATTTTCTTTTCCTTCAGTGTGAGAATTCCCGAGGAGAGAAAAATCTATAGAATTTTGTTACTTTATCAATGGTAAAAGTAATAATGCATGCACTGAAACACTGGCCAACATTTTAGTGAAATCTAAGCCTAATACCATGAGAAAGGCAATGCCACTCATTAAGTCAGACAATATTTAACATGTGTTTTCCTAGAAACTAAGAAGTAACTAACCAGAGCATACCAGAAACTAAGGCAGACTGGATTCAAAGAGGTGTCCAAGGGTAAGCTGAAAAGTCCCACTCTTCCTGTTCTTCCTCCTGGACCAGTTGGTGTAGAAATATAAAATCCTGCAAAAACAATTTTTTAAAGTTTTCATTTATTAAAATATTGGCATCTTCTCTATGTGAGATGCATTATTCATAAGCAGAAAAGAAAATTTTAGGATGAAAACACTGGAAAATATTGTGGATGTGTGCACTGGGGATGAACCCTGGGAGCACTGAACTACTTCCCAGGTATTTTTTTTCCCTCTCTTTAAATTTTTAATTTCAGACAGAGTCTCTCTAAGTTGCTTAGCCTGGTCCTGAACTTTTGATCCTCTTGCTTCAGCCTCTTGAGTAACTGGAATTATGATGTAGACCACAACTCCCAGTGGAAACATACAGTATTTTTATAAAGTGGACAGGACACTATTCTCAAATCCAGAAAGCAGCAACTCTGCCACAACAAATAGCTATTTAGGAAAATCACTTCATAACTCTGGAATCCTCATTTCAAATCTATTTTACTATATATTTTAATTAATCCACATCTTTGAGACAATCAGTGCATGAGGATATTTAGACATGCTGATGGGCATGATTTATAAAAGATTTAAAGACACAGCTGAAAGCAAGTTAAGAGTTTCAAAAACCCTCAGTTTTATATTCCACTGACTACACTGATTATCTCTAAATGAGGTTATTTGATTTTATAATGGTTTAATCTTCTATATTCTTTTGAATGACAATTAATCAGATAACAATGGAGCAGGAAGCATGTTAATCCATGTAAAAGCTTTGAAAATAGCACAAGTCACTGCATAAAGTACTTTCTGTTCTAGAATTCATTATTCCAACCAATGATTTGAGTCATACAAAATGTACAAAGTAAGAACATCTTAAGAATTTTCTTAGGGCAACTTTTTGTATTCTTAGTTTCTGACTCATAACAGGAAACAGGAACCAGGTGACAATAATATAAATGAAATATTATATTATTCCAATTTCATAGGAATGTGACTTTTTATAAATTGTTAAAATTTAATGTTTGCTTGAAATCAAGTATCTTCCCTCTAAAAATATAGCTACATTGCTCATAAAATTCAAACACTCATTTAAAATGTGCAGTCAGAACCAGAAGTGAAATAAATAATAGTAAAACTGCTTATTAGACCAGTGATACAAAAATTTTTCAAAATAATTATTTTATAAATATGAAATAATTGTCAATTATCATAATGAAGGTAATATGTGCACATTAATTGGATTTAGATTTTAAAGAGTAAAAGAAAAATATGTTAACCTTTTATATTATTTACACATTATTCATATTGCAGATATGCTGTGATATTTAATGAATACTTATTTTAGCTATTTAGCTAGTGCTTAGTTATATGAACAAAGAGCACATAGAACAATGGAATGGTTTCAGAATTCATTTCTTAAACCCCCACCTCCAAATCCATTTTGAGTTGATCTTTCTTTTACTTGCTTAAGACATAGTTGGAAGGAAATAATTAAAACACTACTGAATGCCATGTGTAAGTACTGAAAAGTTTAAAGTATGCAGAAATATGACTAGTTAGCTGCAATTGTATAGTACAAACACATACTGTGCTGTTATTTATATTTGGCCACTTTCATAGTTGATTAATTATAATCTGAACAATTTTGAGTCTATTATTTATTCACTAAACAATGATATATTTATTCAATAAACAATAATATTTTAGTACAACCAGGATATGAATTTATCCCCACATAAAGCAAAATTAACTATGTACACTTTAAAACCTTATCAATTTTGCATAAATAAGTACATAAATAAGCACAGCATAATAAAGATCATATAGAATTTCACCTTTAAAATATAGTAAAATAATATATAATGTTACCATCTGTGTAACACAAGCTAAATTCTTTAGTTACCATATTAGAAAATGAAAGAAATCCTGCATAAAATTATGAATTCTAAATGTAGAGAATTGTAGTTTACATAAAACTTTAATCTGTCTAAAATTCTTAAATTTTAGTTAAATCTGTTCTTACATTTCTTCTTGGACATTTTGCCTACACACCTCACTTGACACATTAAGATGCCAGGAGCCATAGGAACATTGTACTCCATCACAGCCCACTTCATTTTAACATTTTTAAAAATTATTTTTCTTTTTGGGGATTAAATTTTCTTGCACACATTGTTTCTGATTTTTATCTCTGGGACCAGTGAATTTAAGCTGTTTTTGTTAGCTCAACAAATGTTTACAGGCCACTGTAGTGAGGAAAGAGATTAGGGCAGGAGCAAATTCCCTCAAGCAAATAGGCATGATTTGTCAAAGTCCTGAGACCCAGGGCACATGCGCAGAACACGGAGTCTAGAATGACCCTGCATTTCCTGAACTCTGTACATGGGACTAACCAGAGAAGTGCTGTCTTCAACTCCTTATTTACATACAGTGAGAAATCAAGGGAGCCTTCCACAGCTTAAATTTGATGCCAGGTCTAGTGACTTTCTGATAGGACAATCATCCTAAATGTCTTATTTGCATGATGGAGCAGGAAATTCCAGATACAAAAGAATCTTGCCATTCTCCTGGTGGCTGCCATGAGCCTTTTCACCAGCCTGTTCTCACTGAAGAATTTACTTCTTTTCCACCTTCAGTAAATGTAAATCCTGCTGCCTTTTGTGTGTGTCTTGTCTACATTTTTCTTCAGGACACCAAGAACTTGGAAAAAATTTCACTGGCACCCAAACACTGGTAACATTAGTTCTAGCTTCAGTTTTCTTAAAGCTGTGCTGCCTCGTTGCTTTCAGTAATTTTAAAGCGATCCAATTTCAGCTTGTATCTTCTTTTGAGACGCTCTCACAATTGGCTTCATTCAGCATAGTGTTTTTGTTGGAGTATCTCATTACTTGGAGAAGTTGCAACAGTAGGGATGGTGGTTTAAGCCAGACCATTATCGTCACTATTTATTTCCAAGTGGGTCTTATTCGATTTTCTGTAACCTTTCTTTGGAATTCTTCATCACCTACAAAAAGGCTTGATGCTGCTTCTTTATGTGCATTCTAGTTGGCCTCTTATTACCTTTTTCCTTTTAATTTTTAAAATTTTACTATTATTTGTTTGAAGTGCATAATGATTAAATTCTTCATGGGGCATTGGTATATATACCTAGCTAATTAGTCCCTTATTCAAGATATTTTACTCTCTTTTCTCCTATTAAACCAAATACAAATTGACTCTGAGAATTGAGGCCTAATATCTATGATCTCAATGTCTTCCAGACACTGTTCATATAATTCATCTATTCATATTCAGGATATTGACAAATTTTGATTATTTTAATATTGCTGCTACAGCTGACTGGGCCCAAAATAGTCCAGGTTCTTGTGTATGAGAAGGAAAGAATTGCCAAGCATACATCTCATAGTATGTAGTAAGTTTATTGAAGATCATGGGGCTTCAGGAATAGGCAGAAGGGCAAAGCCGGCAAGAAAAAAAAAGGGGCTTGATAATGCTGTCCTCTAGTATTTATAGAGTCAGATACCACTGATCCAAAGTGCCTCCCACTGTCTCTCTCTGATGTCAGGAGTCAGCAGCGACCTCTTAAACTTAAACCAAGATAATCATTAGGGTGGTGTTTGGCTATGGTTGAATGGAGAGAAGGGAAGTAGCTCACAACCCCCACCCCCCCTTTTAGGATTATAGAAGCATAGATAATCACTAGGGTGGTGTGTTGTTGAAGGGAAGGGAGTGGGTCACACAGCTCCTTTGCTTCTAACTGTATTATTTCCAAACATCTAAAATTTTATGACTTTTTGGATCATTTCTTTATTTTCCTGTTCTTCTATATCATTTTCAATTATGCTTGTTAAAATCATACTGAAGTAAGAAAGAAGAATAAAAATAGGTAGGAAGGAGACAAGAAAAATCATAATTGAAAAAATTGTAATTTTAAGAAGACTGTAACTTCAGGACACAAAGTTACCCAAGGTTTTCCATATCTGCACTTCCTAGGCACCTTTAGTTCCTTTACTTTCAGGCCAATCACACCCAAAATCCCTTAGTCAGACTATAAACCTATAAATTAGCTCAGATGATAAAGTAAAAGGCAGAAATCTTACCTTAAAATAGAGAAAAAGATTCAAAAGTTTCAAATAATGTTTTTAGGGGAAACATCCTAGATCACCCATCTTAAAACAAAACAAAAAATAATAGAGTGGGCCCAGGCCTTTCACCTGTTCAATGGATTATCTTTTCACCAGTAAAATGAGCCCGTACTTTCCTACCTGTGGGTTGGCCTGACTTTTCTCCTGCAAATCAAGCCCAAACTTTCTGTAGATTCACAAATTGCACAGATTTATGCCCATCAAACACATAAATATCCCCAATTTCAGAATATAGCACCCACCTCTCTCCCGTTTGAAGGTCCATACTCTATTTTGTTTAGTGTGTTATTTTAATGTTGCCTGGTAAATCTCTATATGCCTTATACTAATATGTCCTGAGATTTTTGTTTTGAGTGTGTGATGGTTTCAGTAAATCTGCAACCTGCCCCTGGGTGGGATGAGCCCCACCTCCACTTTTGTGACTACCTTGGACACTGTCCAACAACACCACTAATATTGGAGACCACTTAATCAAATGTCTATCTCCTTAGAAGGTCTTTCACTTAGAAATAACCACTCCTCTTGAATTCTCAGTGGTACCTCACACATGGCAAATACAGCATCGTATTCTGCTGTGCATTTCTTACATTTAAGCATAATATGCAAGTTCGAACTTGCTAGAACTTTGGGAAAAAAGAATGATAACTTGTTCATTCATTTTTATTCTCTATAAGGAGTAGCTGAATGTTATTTAATACATCCTTGTTACATTTACTTGACCTGCTTTTATACTTACTAAAATTCTTTACTTAAGAAATGATTAAGTAGACATTTTTCCATAACCATATGGAACTTATATAGTCAGATGATTATTTCTTTTAAAATCCTTCAATTTTCTTGAAATGTCCTCTAGTACTCTTGAAATTAACCTGAGTCAGTGCACACAGTGCCCCTCTTTCTCAAGCCATTGAGTTTTTCATTCGACTTCCTTCTGCCACTTTTTCTGCTTATTTCTCTGTGAACAGAATCTAACCTCTTCCCATCCAATAACTCAGTTCAAGAGAAAAAGTTCTCAGTACATGTTGATGTTGATATAAACACCAGAACCAGAAGAGATAGTTGGAAACTTGGAGCTCCTTTTAAGAAGAAAAATAGACTGGTGTAAATGGCTTTGTGAGCTATAAATGTGTATGTAAAATTAACCAGACCTAGTAGACAAACATTATGAAAGGTTAGGTGGAAGAAGGGCCAAGTTCTAGATTCGATCAATATTAGCAAGTACTATTATTTTCTAAATTTCGATCCCTCAAGAAAGATAAAAAAATAAGGTTGTTTGAAAAGCCTTAGTTACACATAGAAAAAGTTTATATACTAAATGAAATGCAAATTGTCTTAATTACTTTTCTCATTACTGAGACAAAATAACCTACACCCACAGTTGAAAGAGGAAAGTTTTATTTGGTTCACAGTTTGTACAGGTTTCAGTCCATTGTTGGCTGGCTACAAGGCAGGGTGGCATGGCAAAGGGGGACTGCAGAAGGGAAATAGTCCATGCAAACAGGCAGGTGAAAGCACATTAGCCCTCTTTATGCCCCTTATATTTTATGCAGGTTACCCACTCTAGGGCAGGAATAGCACTCATACCTTTAATCTTACCCAGAACTATGCCAAACCAATCAGTGGACTGATTTAGTAATCATACACCCTTGATCCCAGCACCACACACTCTAGATCCACCCATTTCTGAAAATCGTCTCCCCCCATGACTATGTGAGACTTTGAGGGGACATCTTAATTCTTTTATTTTTCATACTTTTGATAATTGAGCCAAATAACTATTTTCCTTGCCATCATACTACTTAACACAGTATCTCAGATATTTGTTGTCTCTGGGATACTTTTATGTCATGAAAGGAAAATAGTTATAATACATGGCACTTTTCATATATCACACATTTTTCTAAAAACATTTTTAGGTATTCAATTTAATATTTGTTACATGCCTCTAAAATCAGGTCCTATTATCCTGGGCCTCACCTTCTAGATGTGGGAACTGAGGTAGAGAGGAGAGACTTAAAGGGAGGTCAGATTTAAATTCAGGTAAGGCTCCACAGTCTACATTTTAATGATCTTTGGTTCCTCACTTTGCTGCCTTTCAAGTATTAGAACAATTATGATTCCAGTGAGACAGACAACGAAAGCATCATTTTTCTTTGGGCCATCTCGGCCTATTGTGACCCCTACTTTTCTGAATTCTTCACATGTCACCAACCTCATTTTCCCTTGGTGTTATGAATAAATGAGCACCCTACATCAATGCTGCCCTACATCTCCCCCAATTCCTTTTGTTTCTAAGAGGTACAGAGAAACCCTGAGTGAGGGCAGTGTGCAGATTGAGGAGCTCTGTCTCTACCAAGACCTTCAGAAGGTTTGGAAAAATGAAAGGGATTAGCTGTTTTTTCCCTACAGCAATGTAATTCAAAGTTTATCTGTTTCATTTAGGTTTTCCTGTCATTTAAAGTGAAGGCAAAGAAAAAAATCTTTACAGTAGGAGAGATTTAATTCTCTTCTCATTTGAGAGGCAGGATGTTCTGATACATAAAGAAATCCAGTTGGAAGAAAGATGCCCCTGGGGGTGACTAACTGGTAGATTATGAAATCACAGATAGGAGAGTTGGGGAGGACCTATTAAGCCCTACCATCGTCCTCATTACTTTGCAGCCTCTGGTGCACTCTGATCTGCTCTACCTTATCTAATTTTAAATAACTACTGCTACATGACTTCTCCAGAGACTTCATTTCCCACTCAACTATTTAAAATCTCCACCTGACATTCAACCTATTTCACTTTGGTCAGTTTCATCTTTTTTAGTTATTTAATCTGTTGGCAAGCTGAAACCATTTTTCTCCTCTAATGTACTTGTACTCTTCAAATAGCAGTGGAATTATTTTACCTTTGTTATGATGACCTAAAAGTAGAAAAATGATAATTTGAACATCAAAGATTTCAACTACTTGAAAAAGTATCTGTCAGAGTCAATAGATATAAATATTTTCTGGACTTTTCTCTAACTATGCTTGCCCAAGTGTGGTAGAGATTGTAAAAAGAATTATACTTAAGAAAATGAAAGGATCCTATTATTTGACTACTTTAGGCCCTCTTCAGAGGGCTGTGATGCTGATCACTTAGAGGGTTAGTCTTTAGCTATGCAGGCCAATAATTTATCCATGGGGGATTAGGCTCTGGGGAATAGCTTACTGGAAAAAAAAAAAGATTAAAAATGTGAGGGAATACGCATGTCTTCATTTGCAGTACTATTTTTGTTCTTATGGGATTGGTCATCTATGCAAAGCACATATTTTATGTGTAGGTCCACACTGGTAAGTTACCAAGATCTTGTCGCTACATTCAAACCGTATCCAGTATGATGTCTTCTCACCACATCTGTTGCCTGATCTGAGTCCCAAGATCCCTTCTCTGGGTCAGGGGACAGCTTTGCACTGGTCTCCCTGTAAACACTCTTGTCCTTCAACAATCCATTCTCTGCCTATCAGTCCTTGTGACTTCTGCCACTCTTGCACTCAGTAACCTCAATTAATTCCCCTTTCCCTTTGGGAAAAAGCCAGCATCACAGAAGCACCACCATCATCTGGACCCTGCTGCCTCACCTGACTCCAGCCACACTGGCCTCCTGGCTTTTCAAACAGGACAGACGTGCTCATCTTGGGAGAACAAACTCTGTTAGTTCCTTCCATGTTGATTAGTCTATATGGTTATTCCCTTTAATTCTTTGAAGTTTTGTTTCACATGCCATTTTTTCAAAACACCTACACTGGTTACTGTGTTTTAAATGGTCCTACAATTTTCCCTCTCCGAGCTTTACATTTTATGAGCCCACTCCCCCACACTGAACATGCCAGAATGCACCTTTCATGTACACCCCTTACTTTCTTTCCTTGATGTACTTGTGATCTATGAAAACAGATAATCTGGTTTATTTTGTCCCAAAATGCATGAGGTGTGCCTTAATAGGACCTCCATCTTGAAAAAGATGCTTCTTGAATAGAAGAGTGAAGGATTAAAGGGAAAGAGATTTTTGGTGATGACTATGAAAATAGATTAAAAGCAGCCATTTTATAGTAAAAATATTTGGATCAAGTTGAAGAAGTATGATAACAATATTTTGATATTTTCAGTATGTCATTATCATTTCTTTTTCCTGAAAAAATTAACTGTGAGTCCTTGTAGTAGATGCCGATCACAGATGACATTGAGTTAACCATTTACTTTTCAGATCATAAAAACAAAAATATTAATCTTTACAATAGAAGTGATCATTAATAATAAATTATAAAGTATGTGTGATTAACACTTTTAACATAAACTGTTTCATTCAGTCTATAAATTATTCACAAATTACTTTCTGATTCAAAATTTTCGACATTCATCCACACATTCAAAAAAACAAAAGGAAAAAGAAAGGAGGTGCTCAGAGAAAAGTGTTTAATGGAAAAGATTTCAACACAGGAGTCTGACAGACTGCAGAAATGGTGATATGTGACCTGTGCCCTCAATATCTAGAACCATGCACAGTTAAAGATTTTAATTTGTATTTTGGATTGAATTGTATTTTTATTAATGACCACAGCAAATCATGGTGTGGGATGGACTTCTTCCATTTTTTGTTTGAGAAAATTATATAAGCACACAAATTTTTGTCATCCTTTTCAAAAATGTTTTTAGTTTTAAGATTCACATTCCTTCTGAATTTCTAGCCTTTTTTCAGTGATTACATTTGATACAGATATTCCTCATTTAACAACCTATATGTTTAATGACTGTCCAAGATTATAACCAAGGCATGCTGTTCCAACTTAAGACTGGCCATTTATAGAGTACTGTAATTTTTGTTGATTGTATTGTATAGTACAGTACTATAGTTTTACATTGTTATACATTTCAGTACTGCATGTAAGAGTTATGCAAATAAAATCAAAGTCATCAAGTTAGAGTTTCCTCTGAGCATTTCTTGGTTATGAATATTGTAATGTACATATTATATCCAATTCCTCATTTAGCAAGCAATTCATTCAACCACCTAGTCGCAGGAATGGAACTTGGTTATTAAAGGAGGAATGTCCGCATAATGAATATGTGCTTCCAATGCTTTTGGCAATGACCTTCCCGCTACTAGTTCCTTATCTCCAGATACTTCTCCATAATTTTAACTTTCTTAGTCAAATATTGTTGTCTCCAATGTTAATGTTTCCATTTGCAATTCAATTTTAATAGTCCATTCAAATAAAAACATGAGCATGTCCACAAGACATGTTCTACAATCAACTATCCATAAGGTTTCCCAGAAATAAGCCTCTCTCCATTTCAAAATGGAATGATATTGCATATAGAGGAATTCTTAAATAAAAATATATAAGTTTAGCAGAGTTCCAGGGTACAAAATCGATATCCAAAACCTGATTGTATTTTTGTACTCTAGCCATGAATAATCAGAAAATGAAATCAGGTCAAAACAAGCCAACAATCAGGAAACTTAATTACCTCCCAGTGGGCTCATTTAATAACAAATGGCAAATCTAGAGCACCAAACTTGTCTCCTTGTCTCTAATGGCCCTTGTTCACTTCTGAACATCTTATGAATGAATGAATATATAAGGTAAAAGAATATATTTCATGAAACATACTTTTATATCTATTTGATTACCATTTTTCATGTACATGGATTTATTACCACATGATTTAACAAAAATATCTGAAAAGCCTTTTTCATTTAATACTGCTATCTTTAAACTACCAAATGCATATCCCTTTTCTTTTGATTCATGAAGTAAATATAAATTATACCTGAAATATTGCCGAAAGTGTGGTCAGAATTTGGTCCAGTAAAGGGAGGGAAGGTGATTCCCTGAATCCTTTCCCATTCATTATCATCATTTAGATCCTGGACCCAGAAACAGAAGCCATCCTCAAAATTACAGTTTATTTTCTCATAATCTGTGATTAAAAAGAAAGAAAAAAACCTTTCAATTTAATAAACTATATCAACAGATTACATTGAAAGTAATCTCATTTTTTACATCTTATAATTGAATGACATGCATATAATAATTTTTATTAATTTTAATTATTTCACTCCATTTAGTTCTTTTTTAAAAAAACTCAGCTTCTTGTTTAAATTAATGCATTCCTTATACCTATTAGGTGGTTAGCAAATACAAGCTTTTGTTATTTAAATTTTGTATCTTGTCTCCATTGGTTCATCTACATGAACTTTGTCCTATACTTTCCTCTTCAAACTAAATTTAATACTTTGAGCAAAATTAAGTTTATGTAGAAATTTCTCTGAATTATTTTATGCTGATAATTTTTACTTATAATATTTTCAGTATATACAATGTTAATTTAATTTTTACATCAACATAATTTTTCTCAAAAAGACTATTTGATTCCCATGAAGAATATTAACCATTTTCTTCTTTCTGTTTCTTAAGTATCAAGTAAAGAAAGATGCACATAAAAGATAGTAAAGACCTTGGAAAATGAAAACTTTAGTTTCTACTACTTTTAAAATTCTATTAAAATATTAAGGCATCTGAAAATTAAAAGGCCAATTACTTACTATTAAGCTCATTGGTGTTAAATACAGCATATGATGCATTGAAGCCAATATAATCATTTTCATCAGATTGGATAAAAAAGGTGACAGTAACTTGGTTGGAAAAAATTCTGATTATCCCCGGATCCATTTCAGAAAGAGAAGCTACAAAAGAATATGAACAATTGTTACATATCTATAGTCATTGCATCCATCCATTCACCCGTCCTATTAATTCATCATTTTATTGACTGATTCATCAGTTCTCTCTGATATCATGCAGTTAATGAAAAGCATCACTTGTATGATTAATTTTAATTGGAATTTCTCTTCTCCTAAGCATTAGAAAAGCTCAAATTATTATAAGGTTTCATGGTTTTAGAAAAGCATATTTCTCATTTTTAATTACTGGGAACAAACAATATACACATATACAAAAACAAAGAAACACAGTTTTCATTGAAAAAGTTTCTTTGAGAAACACAAAGTTTAAGCAATTATCAAACTAAAAGTTTCACTCTATTAGTTATGTCTTATGCTACATTAACAGAAGTTAAAAGAGAATCTCAATAGTGAAAACTAAGAATATGTCTTTGGCTCTCTTCCCATATAACTTTAGGATCTCAAAATAATAGTGGGTGAGTTAAGGATTGATCCAATAGCATTTTTATTGTTCTTATTATAGTTCTGCCTTAACTCTAAGCTACTTAGGACATATCTTTCTATTTTTGATTCTCAAAAGTTAGTACAATGCTTGTCATATGAAACATTCTCATATGATGAATTGATAAAAATCATTATCAGACACATAGAAATATATAGGGTCCTCTAAGAGGGTGAAAATTGATTCTCAAGGGCAAAAAAAAATTAATTTTTAAAATGTAAAGCTCAAATATACACACATAAGCAGATAGATAGAATATATAAAATATTAAAGTGACATAGGGACCAGTAAGAAAAAAGAGGTCCAAAAAGGTTTTTTATTGATGGCTATAATGAAGAAATTATGAAGAATGGTTTGATATTTTTGTTGGACAATCTAAACTAAGCATCAGATTCAGGTCTGTATAAACCACCACTCTTAAAGATTGGAGAAAATCAATTTATGTTATTTTTTGAATTTCAACAAGAGACACATTGTGATCTATTGAATAGTCCAGAAACTTTTCATTTCTCTTTCTTGTTTTAATTTTCACACCATTGGAATCCTTTTGCATGTGGCTTCTAGAAGGATCTGAATAAGGATAGTGACTGAAAGTCTCTGTTATGGCTTGTGTCTAGATGTCCCTCCTAAATTTCCAAGCAGTCTTTTTCAAAGGTGGCTGAATCTAGAATGTGTGAGGCTGAAATTAAGCATGCGTGATTATTAAACCACTACACATGAGTGATTGGTTTGGCATGGTCCTAATGCTGACAGTCTAGATGGGGCAAAAGGGGTAACAAGACGCTGTTAAGGTCCCCTGTTACTTTTGCTCCCCTGTTCCCGCCATGTTATTTCTCCTCTGTGATGCTTTTCTGCCATCCACCCTGTCTTGGAGCCAACCAATTATGGACTGAAACCTCTATGAACTGTAAGCCAAATAAACCTTTACCCCCTTTAATGTTGGGTTTTGGATATTTTGTCTCAGAAAGGAGAGAAAATTAACACAGTCTCCTTTGATAGTTGTAATGAGTTAGTTCTTCACTTTTAAAAATGTTATTGTACTGGTCTAGATAGTTCAGGGCTTATATTCTGAGTTCCATTAACCTCCTTCAAAAATGCACACAACCTCTAGAAAAGTTGTAGAATATGTGTCCGTATAATTGTGTAAAACTTTCATCTATTTTTATACTTTTCTTAACCAAAAAGAATTGCAGATTAAGTGAAAGGCAGGTATCCTATGCATCCATAACTGTAATAAAAGGTATAGGGCAAAGCTGGAGTTCTATAGTAAATATTCAATTTAGTCTTACCTCCGTGTCTTACTAGTCTTCTGGGCATCACTTTCTTCTCTTGTCATATACCATCTCCCATAAAGTTTTATAATAAGAAGTAAATAATTTCTTTGTGCCACAGTGAATGGAGAATAGTAGTGCCCAATGAATGTTAACTATTTTTTCTCTTGCCAATTAGATTTTAAAGGGAAAGATTATGACTTAATGCTTTCCGTGCCTCTATCATTGTGCCAGAGAATGGGAACCTCGTAGTCAATATTTGAGCACTTGCATAAAGATGGGAATAACTAACAGAGTTTGTTTACTTCAAAGAGGCCTTGTGGTGAAAGAAAAAACAACTATATAATATTTTTAGAAGCGGAAATTTTCCTAATATTATATTATAGTTGATAGAATTTTTTGACATTAATTCCTTGAGAAATCCAGTGTTTTCATCTAAAATTCATTTTTTATGGATATTAATTTATATAGACTTGACAATTAGTGACTTAAATGTGAATTGTCATTTGTCTTCTAAAAACAATGACTTGGGTAAGTAGATTTTGTGGAAAAGGAGAATAGGGAAGCATTAAAAAGAGGGAGGGGAGTTTGGAAAGAGAGAGAAATGGACAAGAGTGTCAGACTTTTTACCAGAGTACAGTTCAACAGATGTAGTTCAAAGATATTTACTTTATCCCACTTATAAAATTACAAATGCTGCCATTAAAATAGTCTGGACGATATAAAGGACCTCTAGTATATTAACCATATTTCACTGAATGTCCCTGATGAATTTACTATATGTGCTGATTTCATTGATGAGAAATAAGCACATGCCTTGCTAGAAAAATTCAGACTGATGAGTTATAAAAATTGACTCTGGAATTATTAAGTATGGGAAAAATACTGTGGTGTACAGAGGAAGAAATTCTTGATTTAGCCAGGCAAGATGATTAGGTAATCTTTGGAAGTTTCTGGAAGGGACAACTCTTTAAGTAGTTCTTGTTAAACTTTTTTCTGTATACATCTCTATCAACAGAAGTGAGAATACACAAAGTGTCCCAGTGAAAGCATAAAGTTTATTGAAAATGCTTTACCTTGAAAAATATTTGCCATATATTACTTAGTTTCATATCCACAATATGTTTCTTTTTGTTGTAGAACAAACTAACAGTTCAGGAAAATCCATTATATTTATTACAGAGGGTTGGGGGCTAATGGGACAAGTGGGCTAGCAGACATATATTACTAGTGCCTTCCTTGGCTTCTTCTCAGCTTCAGTCACCAACTGTTATGTAGCAGCAATCTGACCTGCACCTGTACTGACTGCTTCTTATGTTAGACTCTTTTTAACTGCTTTGTTTGTTTTAGTCCTTCAAGAGACTGAAGAGCAGAGTGCACAACGAACAAAGAATAGAGATTATAAATGTTTATAATCCCTTCAGTGTCAGAGAAAAATAGAATAATAATTAAGGCATGTCTGATTTTTGTCTAATGGGTAATAACATTTAAACAATGCATAGGAAATAAATATATAATTATGCATTCATATGCTTTTTAAAGCAGCCATTATAAGAAAATGTGAAATAATTATTTTATTGTGAAGTGATTATTTTGCTATAAATTTTTAACTTTATAATCAATTAGTTATAACTTTACAACCAATTTTGCTATTTTTAAATTTTGCTTTTTAAAATTTATTTTTATCAGTACTTGTTTCAGTACATAATGAATACATTTATTGTGGGGAAGTGGTACACGTGTGTATCGACTAGTCCCTTTCAGTCAGTTGTGTATATTTCAAGTTGATATTAAGTTTAAAATCACAAAGGGAAAACATACTTAAAACATCCATTTATCTTTTGATTTTGATAAGGAATTATATATTTGTTTTACTTACCTCTTAAAATCTTGCTTGGTCCCACACCTTCATAAATATTTAATAAATCTGTATAATGTATATTAAAGGAATTAAAGCTTAGTTGAATTGAAAGTCCTTGGTTTACACTAAATTAAAAGCAAAAAAATAGATTATAATACTTTCAGTCATCATAATCTTTAATAGATTCTATATTTTAATGTTTTTTAAGTTAAAAATCACATAATATGAGATCTATCCTCTTAACAAACCCTTAAGCATACAGTACAGTATTGTTAACTTTTAACACAAAGTTGAGCAGTGGATCTATAGAGCTTATTCATCTAGAACAAGTGAAACTCTATCCATTGGACAGCAATTCCCCATTGTTCTGTTTTTCTAGCCCCGGCCTCCATCATCCCACTTTCTGTGAGTTTGACCTAGGATTAGTGGATCATATAATTTTTCTATATTTAATTTCTTTGAGGAAACTACATACTGTTTTCCATAGCAGCTGCACTATTTTTACATTTCTATTCATTCATAAAGGTTCAGACCTCTCTGCATTCTTGTCATAACCTAATGATAGGCCATCCCATTGGATCTAAGGTATTTTCTCCTCATAGTTTTGATTTACATTTCCCTGACCATTAGGGATGGTGAGCATCTTCCTATGCATATTGGTTACTTGTATGCTTTTTAATAAATGTTTATGAAAGTCTTTTGCTTATTTTTACCACATTAGTTAATTATTTTGATATTAAGTTGTAGGAAATTCTTGTACATTTTAGATATTAACACTTAACACATATATTATTAGAAAATGTTTGCTTTCACTTTATGGGTTGCCTTTTTACTCTGTTGATTGTATTTTCTGTTGTGCAGAAGCTTTGTACTTTGATGTAGTCTATTCAAATATGTTTGCTTGTATTACTCATGTTATTGCTGTCAGATCCAAGAAATTAGTGCAAGACCAATATCAAAAAGTGTTCTTTTATTTTCTTCTAGGAGTTTTATTGTTTTAGATCTTACATGTAAGTCTTCTATTCATTTTGTATAAATTTCTACGAAAATTTTAAGATAAAGTTTTCCTTTGAGCTTTTATAAGGATTTCAGGTTTTCTCAGCACCATTTGTTGATGTGATTATCAGTTCTCTCTTGTACAGTCTCAGTACTCTTTTTGAAGATATTTGACTATATATGCAAAGGTTTATTTTGTAGCTTTCTATTGGTCTCTGTGTTTCTCATTATGCCAGTATATTACTAGAGCCTCAAACTGTGTTTTGAAATCAGGAAATGTGATCCTTTTAGTTTTGTTCTTTATTATAAACATTGTTTTAGCTTTTCAGTTTCCTGTATGGTTTTAGAAAAATTTTAGGAGTTATTTTTCTGTAAAATTGCCATTAGTATTTTGATAGGGACTGCATTAAACTTATACCTCAATTTGTAGTATGAACACTTTTAATAAGAGCTAGTCTTCCAATCCATATACGTTGTCCTGAAAGCTATCATGCTCCACAACTGTTACTGACACACTTAAATGCCTTGCCTACTAATATATGTGACTCAAAGAAAGATTATTTTATGTATCCTTGTATTCTTCAACACTTTGTAGAAACTAGTACATGATTGTTGATGTAAGAAATAATCTGCTGTAAAATATATTGTATGTAATTTTCATATCAGTGTAGGAAGAAGTCTGACAGGTTTGTAAGAAAGTATAAATTTGATATTTCAATAAAATATTTTAAATTTTAGGAAATTTGGGGAAAAAGTGTCTAGGAAAGTGGTGGAGAACCTATGACATGCATGTCACAGCCAACTGTCTGTTATCACTGAAAGCTCTAAAAGTTTTACCATCACTGGTCTACTGCAACCAATATTTGCAACTCCACTGCTTCACTGAAGCATCGGGATCAGAAATGTGAGCCTTCTCAGAATTGATACTAGAGATAGAACAGAGAAATGAGGTCACACTGTTTTCTTTTTCCCTGTGTTTCAGAGCAACCAATTCATTTGCAATAAAGACTCAGACATTGGAAAAGCAAAGGTAATATTAAAATCTAAAGTTTTTATAATATTAGACATCTTTGTTATCTTTTGAATTTTTATAAAGAAATTCATTTGGTATTTTATATTATTAGATAATCTTTTTAATAGTCCATTTTTATTGATCTTGTAGTATATGCTAGGCAATTTATATTTATTTTTAAAAATTTACAATGATTGATTCCAGTAATCAAAGAATCTGAACTCTATAGATGCAGGTATTTGGGATCAGAGAGTTTTATTTGTCTCAGATCGTACTTCTTTAATCTGAAGAAACTAGAGTTGAACATACATAGGCTGTCTCTAATATCCACATTCTTACTAATTCGCAGTATGTTAAATGTAACCACAATGTTAATGGTAGATGAGTACAGCCCCAAATATAGTTTCATTGCATATTAGATATTTCCCCACTACTTATTTTGTCTTCCAAGTATTTAAAGAAATCATTTGTTCACCCCTACTTCCATCATGACTGGGGGAAGGAAAACCCCCAATTATATGGTAAATGTATCTTTGATATAGCTTTGAGGAAAAAGTTAGATTAATTTATGTGACTAATTGAATTATAATTTTATCATGAGGTATTTGTTTTAGGATAACATTTTTTAATTTTTAGGTTTCTATAATCTTTTCTGCACCAATATTAAATTCTTAAAGTTTTAAATAATGAAATGGATATAAAAATAATAAACAAAATATTAAGATGGTTATTTTATAAATGATATTGTCATGATAGTAAAAGCTTTTTTGTGTGTTCTGCTTATAAGTCTTTAAACTTAACCTACCTTAATTAAGAAATGAATTTAAATGTCTAAATTATTTTATTTAGTATTAACAAGGTTCTAAAGATTTTGTGAATAAATCATTACATAACTTCATTTCAATACTCCTTATATTTATATGAGAACAAATTATTTTTCCACTTGGAATATCTGAGTGGAACATCAGTGTAATGGTGTAATGGTTGATATCCAGATGTCTCCCTAAAGCCTCATATTTGGGGCTTTGGGGAGGTGATTGGATCATGCGGATTTGGTACTTATCAGTGGATCAGTCCACTGATGAGTTTATAACTAAATGATGTGATGCTAGGAAGTGAGGCCTAGTCAAAGGAGGTGGGTGATGGGTGTAGCCTGGAAGGGTCTATCTCTTTCCCTCCTCCCTTGATCTCTCTCTTTGCTTCCTGACCACTCTTCCCAGAACAACTCTCCTCTGCCGTGCCCCTCTGCCATCTCATCCTGCTGTGGAACCAGCCAACTATGGATTGAAACCTCTACAAACTGAGCAAAAATAAACCTTTCCTCTTTTAAGTTATGGGTGTCAAGTATTGTGTCCCAGTGACAAGAAAATAGCTAAGACAATCAGATATTTGTGCATGTGTGTGTGGTGTGTGTATGTGTGTGTGTATGTGTGTGTGTGTGTTTTGAGACAGGGAAGGACTCACTTTATAACTCAGAGTGACCTTGAACTCACTGTGGTGCTCAGGCTGGCCTCAAATTTAAAATGATCTTCCTTTCTCAGCCTCCTGAGTGGTGGGATTACAGGTGTTTGCCACCATGCCTGGCTAGACAATCAGATATTCCTCTTCTATGCAAGATGCTTAGGTAAATATTAAGGTTAATTAGCAATCAGCAACTTTATTATGTTGATCATCGTCATGATTGTATCAGTCAGTTGAATTAAGAGCTTGGAAGTCAAATATGTAGTAACTCATCCAAAAATGATTCAAGATACAGCAAACAGGACATGGGAGCTGGGGGTATAGCTCAGTGGTGGAGTTCTTGCCTACGAAGTGCAAAGCTAATCAAATCACACTATTGAATATTTTCATACAATTGTTAGCATAATAATAAAGGAATTATAGTTAGCTTTCCATATTCCTGGGTTCTGCATCCAAAATTCAATGAACTGTAGATCAAAAATATTTAAAAACAAAAATTATATCAATACTAAACATGTACAGATTTTCCTCCTTGTCCTTAAACAAGGAGTATACCCACTATTTACATAGTGTTTACATTGCATTAAGTATTATAAGCAATCTAGAGATTTAATGTATATGGGAGACCAGATTTCATGATACAGTGGGGCATGTCTATAATCCCAGCAACTCATGAGGCTGAGGCAGTATAGCCAATTTAGTGAGATACAACCCCCCAAAAAATTAAAAGAAAAGAACTGAGGGTGTCACTAGTACCACCTGGCCCCAAATATGGCAGAATGCACAGAGATTCTATGTAAATATCAAGTCATTTTATATAAAGCACTTGAGTATTAACAGATTTTGGCATCCACAATGGTGGGCATCCTGGAGCCAACCCCCTGTAGGCACCAGAGGAAAACTATATTCTGTAGACAAGTACAAATGATGTGAAACTCTACAACAGCCCATGTGTACTTGTGCACTAATTGCTTTGGCAGTACAAGATTTCCGCCAGTCACAGGGGAAAAGAATTGCTTCAGTGTCCAATGATATGGCCCCATTTATTAAACAGTATTGTTCAAGGACAAAATATCTTTTCAAAAAGCCAAGAACTACAGAAAAACTTTTTGAATAGTTTGTCCGTTGGGAAGACTTTGCCTTATAGTTAATGAAAATAATAACAATTTAAAGAAAACACTGAAAGCGCTAAGACCCCGCATCAAGAAAAGACTTCAGAATTAAGCAGGATGTAGAAGTCTGCATCTTACGTACCTTATGATCCACTGGCAAACAACACTTGATGTAGACAGGTTTGGATAATGGGGAGCCTGGAAAGACCCGGATGATCCAGTCAACAAATATCTTCCATCACAAGGGGTGGCTGCAGAAAAATGCCAGTTAATCTCAGACTGTGCTATCTTTTCTAATGCCACAATAGAGCTATTATAGATGTACCATTCTGTCTCTGAGCTCAAAAGCAGGGGTAAAAATGTAAAGGAAAGAACCAGGGAATTAAAACACTACATCTTTTCTAAATTCTTAAAAATATAGCACAGATTATGTTTGCAACAATATTCTGCAACAAAGTGAGGGTCAAAAAAAAAAAAGCCAGCAAAAGAATTTGTAAAACCAACTTGCAAAGCTGGTGAAATTTTGATAATTCTTCAAATTCATCATTAAATATTTCTTAGAAAGGGTATCGAAGGGCTTTTGGTGTATAAGATCATTACTCTTTCTGAAAAGTTGAATCACGTCCCTTACGGCAGAGATTCTTCTGGAGCTGACAGACTCTCCTTCAGCCCCTTCCAAGGTACATGATTATATTAATCTTTCACATCTCATGCAATCAGATGACAGCAAGTGACTAAGCTGCTTAGTGAGCTATTGTAAATGTAGTCGAGTTAATTTCTAAATGTGATTTCTAAAACATAACATCCCCCAACAAACAAGCAAATGACACTTCTGTAACATTCTTCCTTTGCCTCTGAGCAGGTCATAACATATCCTTTGGAGGGGCCTCAGGGCAGCGAGGGTGGCAGAGCAGGAGTGGGTATCCTCAATGCCTATAAAGGGCAGCCCCTTCACATTTTTTGGACATTTTTTGGACTGTGATATAGGTGATAAAAGAACTGTGGCCGTCTCAAATTGCTAAGATTGTCTATCATAGTGTTTAATACAATATGCCTTCCAGTTTTCCATGAAGGTGAAAATTTTTTGGGGGGAGGTCGATCTACATGTTCAATTCTGCTCTCAAAGTTGTCTAGTAAATTCCTGCATGTAAGTAAATGAAGCTATGAAATTACCACAATGATGGACTTCTTACAATAACAAAATTTAGAATGTTAAAATATTACCATTTTAAGATATAAGATTGTGTTAAGGGCTTTGTTAGGTATTACTTCATTTAATTTTAGGATTTTTTAAAGACATTAATTTTATATATGACAATGAATCAAGATATGCTTCTGGGAAAAAATATATCGCAGCCATGAATGAGTAGTATTGCTGGGTGTTCATGATTATGACTATGTAGACTGCTGAGTGGTTTGTAGTGCAGCATCAGAAAAATAAAATTCTGAGTGGGAGAAAATGAACCTGTCTAATAATATCAGCCACTGTTGCCTGTAATGGGATGGAGTGACTAAGGGTGTGTACTTAGAACCTACTGAGAGCGCCCTCTGCTGGCCCAATGTTTATTAATTGTATTTTTGTTCAGGAGATTGGATTCCTCAGGATATACAGTATATAAATCAAACATGACCTGTACCTGCCTACCAAGGTCTATTATTCACGTACACATGCAGTATGCAAATTATGAAGACACTTGCCGACTTTCAAATAGGCCTGCACCTTTGCCTGAAAGGTTGTGAGTCAGCATCTTTCTTTCCCATAGGTCAGCTAAAAAGTGAACTTTCTTGCTGATGCAATTCTAATCAGAAGAGGAAAACAATTCAAAGGAATCTTGGTTAAGCTATAGTCAGCTATAAGTTGTGCAAACCTAAATAACCAAAGATGAAGAAAAGAAGCTGCGTGAGGAAGTCAACATTAATGTGACACTATTAATAACACAAACTGGAATGAGATCTCAGAGCTGGTGCAAAGTAAATAAATAAATAAAAGCAAAGGTCAACTGCATACAGAGAAAATGCATATTAAGTTAATTTTATGATTTTTTTCTTGAATCGACCCAAGGACTTTGTGATGAAAATTATGCCACCAAAATTTTAAGGTAGTTCTAAGGGAAAGTCCATGAGACTTCTGGGCTCATAATTGTCAATGATTAAAATGATAAAACAACTTGAACTCTTGAATTCTTGCTGGTTAAAAGCAAATTAATTGATTTATTTTCCACTGCCTTATCTTGCAAATGATTTAAATTCATTTACCAAAAATCAATACAATCTTAACTTTAAAGTGCAAAGAAGAGAGTAAAGAAAATGAAAAATGAGGAAATAGAGGTTTCAGGGAACAGTGACATGAAGGACAATGGCTGCTAAGGTTGAGTAAACAAAAACCACAGAGATGCTGATGAATAATAATACAGTTCGAGTATGTCTTTAAAGGAAACTTAGGTAATTAATTCAGTTCTAACACAGAGGATCTATATGAGTTTACAGATCAGAAAAATAACTCATTGCTTTAAAACTTCAAATTGTCACTTTTATATAATATTCTTATGACTATTTTTGAAATACACTGATATTAACTTACCATAAAATTATGAACCTTATATGAGGTTAGAGACCAAATTACAAATGTGATATTTTTCTAATTATTTAATTCATCTAATGCATTAATTTTGCTTTTTCCCGCACTTAATCTTAACTTTAAATAAATCAAGTGATAGTCATATCATTATGTAGACTTCATGTATGTATCTATCTCTGATATACATTATGTTAGTTTTGAAGCAGAAATCGACATCATCTTTGTCACCTCACGATGGCACACTTGTATCATATTCTACCTAGAAAGATTTTGGAAAGTGCCTGAAAATCATAGCAAACAAACAGTGCTTTCTTTCTTTTTGAGTAACTTAGTCATATAAAATAGATTAGAGATATTATGTAGACTACCTTTTCCATGAATATATTCTGAGTTCATGTCAATGTATGTAGTGAAACTCTGTGGGTATGGATTTTATCCAAGAACATCTGAATGGGGATTGTTGAGTGGAAATCTCTGCAGCAGTGCTGCCTTTTGTTGAGTTACTACTGGCAAAGAGACCAGTGCCCATCTTATAAACTATGTTCCAAGTCAATAGGTAATTTTTAAAACTTTGGTTCTCATTGTAATCTTCATTTTCAATTAATGTTAAGCAAGATGAGAAAAGTAATGAATGATATGAAAAGAATGAGCAACAACGGTAGCTGCAGCCCTTAACTAGTTGTACTCACAATCAATTTTAAAACTATTATAAACCTGACCAAAACTGTTCAATTCATGTTTTCTGGCTAATTTTTCAAAAACAAATTATAGAATTATTCAAATGGTTCTTCATATTGCTTGCTCACCTACATGTACAATTATGTGGTAATCTACTTAGATATGTTACATATGAAAATTAATTTTCTACTTAGATACTGATTTCTGCTAAACTTTCCTAAGGGAACCCAATTATAAAATGAAGAAATAAGAAGAAAGAAGACATATCTAATCAATTAGAATCATAGTTAAGGCTATTTAAATTTCAAAGAATAACACTCCCAAAGTGACAAAATACGCAAATAAAACAGATTTATTTTTATTAATGGGACAATAAGTTGTTAATGATAATTGTTTGCATTATTCACTAAAGTACAAGAAGCAAATCAAAGCAACAATCAAAATTGAGTGATACTCACTGAAGTATTTGCAATTCAAATAGCAAAAACACTGCTATGATAGTGAAAATGTCTGACAAAAGCATTGGTAATAATGAGTGATACTGTAGAGGTAAGGATTCAAGTTTAGAGTAGTTCATTATTAGGATGAACAAAAATTAATGACAGACATTACTGTTTGAAGCATCTTTCACATAAATATCAAATGGAATTCTGCAAAATTAATATTTTTAATATCATGTAACAAAGTTTAGGAAAATCTTAATATAATTATTTTTAGACCTCTGTATTATTTTATACTGATGGCTATTAGAATAGCTAATTGTTTCAGGTGTGTGTGTGTGTGTGTATACAGTGAGGGAGGAGGAGAGGAAGAGAGACCAGGTGGGTGACCTTACCACAAATTTTATTGTCTTCATCAGAGCCATCTGGACAGTTTATTTCTCCATCACAAAATAAATCAGTTGATACACACTTCAGAGCATCAGCACAAGGCCTTGAACCAGGTTGGCACATTATTGAAGCATTTCCTTAAAAAAAAATTTAAATTTTAAGCTTCTTGCACAGTGGACTTAGTTTCCAATTGATGAGATAGGTACAAGGTTTGAACATTTGTAATTTATTTTATTATTTAAGGCCTCATTCACAAGTATGTACTTCAGTTTCTAGAAGAAATATTTATTTCCTTTGATGAATCAATCATTATTAAAATATAGGATTTAAGCTAAAAAATTCTTCATAGATGTTAAATGTAAATGTTTCCTCTATCTACTTTAGCTTCAAAAAATTAATACTATGGCTCAGACCATTTAAGCCCTCTGCCCCCAAATCCTGGTATGTGCCACTATGCCTAGCTTTGACTCTGAGATTCTTAAGAGATAGAATACAAAGACATTCCTGCTAGGTTTTCAGCCACACGCAGCCAGGATCCATCAATTTAGGGTTCTCAGTGTGTCTCATTCCTCACCTGGCCATTTGCACATATGTATTCATAAAGATGCACAAGAAACACAATGTATTTCTAAAAAGTAAGTTGGAAAATGTAAGTGCAATGGTAAAACTAATGTTGTTTGTATGCCTATGGGATAGGGCATATGTTATTATTTTTCAAAGTTATGTTGGAAATTGAATATTTCTGTGGCTAGAATCATAATGATGGGTTAAAGCTTTGGAAATCTTTAACTCAATGGCATTTGTTTTCATTATTGTTCTTAATGTGAAACCCAGCATTGTACTGCCATCTGCTGGGTTTAAAAAAATCAAAATATAAAATTCCAAAATTTCTTTTGCACCATAAAATTAATTAAACCAGAAGTATTTGTATCAAGGAATCCACTAAGATAATAATTGATTAAGAATATTTATAGGTAGGTTTGCTGAATATATATGTAACTAAATCAGACTTCCATAGTTGTGTGTAATTAAAATGGATATAAACCACTGGGAAATTCATGGATCATCTAACATCTGAAAGGTTAGAATACTCCCATATAAAGAAAAATTATATCAGTTTTTTGGAGAATTCCAAAAAATTGAACAGATGGTCTCCATCTCAATCTGATAAAAGCCATCTATAAAAAATTAACAGCCAATATCACAGTAAATGGTCAAAAACTGAAATCCTTCACACTAAAATCAAGAGCAAGACAAGGATGTCCACTATCACCACTGCTGTGCAATATAGTTTTGGAAACATTAGCCACAGCAGATAGACAAGAGAAAGAAATAACAGGAATAAAGATAGGAAATGAAGTCAAATAGTCATTATTTGCAGATGACATGATACTCTATATAGAAGACCCCAAGAACTCCACAAAAAGTCTTCTAGACTTAATAATCAAATTCAGTAAAGTAGCTGGATACAAGGTCAACACACAAAAGTCAAAAGCTTTCCTCTGCATGAACAACAGATGCACTGAGAGAGAAACAGGGCAAACAATTCCTTTCACAATAGCATCCAAAAAACTAAAATACCTAGGAATCAACCTAACGAAAGAAATCAAAGACCTCTTCTCTGAAAAGTATAGCACTCTGAAAAAAGACATTTAAGATGATATCAGAAAATGGAAAGACATCCCCTGCTCCTGGTTAGGAAGAATCTACATAGTGAAAATGGCCACACTTCCAAAACTGCTAAGTAGTTTCAGTGAAATCCAAATTGAAAACCCAGCAGCATACTTCATGGATGTTGAGAAAGCTATCCAAAAATTAATTTGGAACAAGAAGAGACCTAGAATAGCTAAAGCAATTCTAGGCAACACAGACATGGCAGGGGGTAGCACAGTTCCCAACTTGAAACTATACTACAAAGCTACTGTGATAAAAAAAAAATAGCATGGTACTGGCAAAGAAACAGACCTGAGGACCAGTGGAACAGATTAGAAGATGTAGAAACAACTCCAGACATATTCAGTCACCTCATCTTTGACAAAGGAGCCAAGCACCCTCACTGGAGGAAAGATAGCCTCTTTGATAAATGCTGCTGGAAAAATTGGGTTTCAACTTGCCAAAGAGTAAAACTAGACCTATATTTCTCACCATGGACTAAACAAATTGAAATGGATTAAAGATCTAAATATTAAAACAGAAACGCTGAACTGGCTGGAACAGAGGTTAGGTAGAACTCTTGAAGACATTGGCGTAGGAAAAGATTTTATGAACAAAACCTCAGTTGCCCATAAACTAGCACAAACAATCAACAAGTGGGATCTCTTCTTAGTAAAAAGCTTCTGCACAGGAAGAGAAACCACCAGCAGTGTGAAGAGACAACCCACGATGTGGGAAAAATTTTTCACCTGCTGTTCCTCAGACAAAGGTCTACTATCTCGAACCTATAAAGAACTTAAGAAAATCAGACCTCCTCAATTTAAAGACCCAATCCAAAAATGGGCATGTGAAATAAACAGACATTTCTCAAAGAAGAAGAAATAGCAAGTAAACACATGAAAAAATGTTCAACTTTATTGGTCATTCGAGGGATGCAAATGAAAACAATGCTGAGATTCCACCTCACCCCAGAAAGAATGGCTGCTATCATGAAATCAACCAACAACAAATGCTGGCTGGGCTGTGGGGAGAAAGGAATCCTTCTGCATTGTTGGTGGGAGTGCAGCCTGGTGCAACCACTGTGGAAATCAGTATGGAGATACCTCAAAGAACTAGGACCAGAGGTCTCATTTGACCCAACTATTTCCCTGCTGAGTATCTTCCCCAAAGAATTAAAAGAATCATACTACAGTGATATATGTGCACCCATGTTCATAGCAGCACAATTTGTAATAGTTAAAATTTGGAAACAGCCCAAATGCCCATCAACTGGAGACTGGATAAAGAAAATGTTTTTTTTTTTTATATAATGGAGCACTACACAGCCACAAAGAATAAGAAACTAGAGATATTTATAGCTAAATGGATGCACATTGAGGTGATACTCTTAAGTGAAATAAATAGGAAACACATGTGTAAATACCAAATAGCTTCTTTTTAACACTGAAAGTGTAAATAATGACTAAAAGGTAAAATAGATAATGTTAAATAGGAAGTAAATGGGCAAACGGGATGGGGAAGAGGGAGGAGTAGGGTAAAGGAAAGAAGGGAATGGAATTAATATGAGAAAATGAAAAAAATCAAAACACAATCTTTGTAAAGAGGGAGGGATGGAGGGGTTGAAGGGAGGGCAGGGGAATGGGGAAAAAATAAGAACCGAGAGAGATTATGTGAAGGTGCAAATTTCCAATGATGAATGTCATTATATTGTATCCCTAAAACGTACCAATAAAATTAATTTAAAACAAAATTAAAAATATATATATATCAAAAAAGTATAATTATGAAAGTGTTATTTAATAAACTCAAACACATATTACAACTGTTGATATTTAAGAGCTATTTATCAAAAGAGTATTTTATCACTGAGTTCCAGTTAAGAAAATGTACAAAAAGCATAATGTCTGATAGTATTTCATAAATGCTTGCTAATGAGATGAAGACAGGCACTCTACTTGAAACTGTCTTATTTTTACAGTAGTTAATAGAATTCTTTGTTGAGCATTTGTGAAGCAAGTCTTAAAAAAGATGGAAGAACAAATTTCTCCTATTTAAGAAATTCCTCCTTAGATTTCCCCCTCCTGGGGCTGTTGTTCTTTGTTGTATTACAAATAAAATTAGTAACTTTGTCACTGTAAGTAACACAACCTCCTGTTCTGATAAAATTGTTTTTACCAGAAAGAGGTCACCAAGATATGCTGTTACAAAAGTGTTACAGATTGACTGTCTTTGTTCTGCTTCTGTCCACAAGTTCTGTCCATTAAGTAGACCAACCCCTGTTTTCAACATGTATAAAATTAGAGCCCTTCCTTTATTCTGGACTCAGCCTTTGTACACAAGTCTGCTGAGCTGGTGCACACTTAATTAAAGCACCCTGTTCCACTCATTGGTCTCTTCGATCTGCTAAATTCTGCAACACTTAAAAGATTAGATTTGGGGACATAGCTGGTAAGAGACAAAATTATGGTTGTCCTAGTGATTGTACTGAGAGCTTCATTTACTGATTCTTTGCATCTCTGTTGTCTATTGAACACTAAATTGAACTCAGAAGCTCACCAACAAGGAAGACTTTTTGGTATTCTTTGATCTCTCTAATGATGATTATTCATGTACTCCACAAGTGTTTACTGTCTACTTATTTGTGGCATGTAATTTTAAGAAATAAAAATAAAAGAACCAGGCAACATCTCTATTCTAACAGAAATTGGAGTTTAGTTGGTGACTGATTCATTCACTATTTTTTTAAATGAAATATAAAAATCTGGTTGGGGGGGGCAGGGATTTAGCTCAGTGGTTCTGCCTCCTGCCTTGAAACCACAAGGTCCCAAGTTCAATCCCCAGTACCAAAAAAATCTGATTTGGTAGCACCAAGGATTAGACACTTTCTCTCTGAGGCAGAGTTCAAAAATATCTTCACAGAAGTGGTCACTTTTAAACAATTTTGAAGGATATCCAAAAGCACACCAAGAAGATATATACATTGAATATATGTGAGGATGTCTTAGTCACATTCCTTGCTGCTGGGATAGAATACTCAACACCCATAACTGAAAGACAGAGAAGTTTATTTTGGCATACTTGTTTAAAAGCTTCAGTCCTTTCATTATTGGTGGCATGATAGCAGGGCCTGGCTCAAGGAAATTTCCTACCATCATTGCAACCAGGAAATGGAGACTGAACAGAGGAGCCAAGGAGGGAGATAAACCCTTTCTGGTTATTTCTCAAGTGACCTGCCTCTTCCAACCAGTCCCCACTTCCTAACAGAAAATCAGTTATAATACCCCATAACCTAATCACCTCTGAGTGCCTGAGGCATCTAGATATAAACCATAACAGAAGGTGTGATAGGAGCCAAATCAATATATGGAAATTGAAAAGTCTAATTTATCTAGTTAGCAGAGTCGTTTTGAAAGCCATAGCAAATGTGGTATCAAGATTTGGGGAGCCTTTTAATCTTTGCTAAATATTAGAAATGCTTTTCTAT